TAGTGATTCTGAAAAGACAGGGATCCCTTTCTTTAAATTTTCTCATCTATGGCATATAATTTTATTTTTATAGATGTATATTCACCTATTTCTAAGCACAGAGTAAGCCTTCAAGGCTTGTCAGTGAATTAGATGTTCTGCTGCTAAAAGTCAACCTGAGCACCCTCAAGACTCAGAGTTGGCTGTTTCCTGAGAATAAATAAAAGGCCCTGGTTCATCTCAGTGCTATGACAAGAATGGGCACTTTCTTCTTCCAGCTTGCTTTCTTCCAGATCAGAGGATTCTTATAAGAATGTATGTGTTTTGTTGGGGAAAAAATCATTAATCCAAAGTTTAATCATCCCTTCAGTTTTACTTAAACTGTTTTTTAATTCAAATAAAATTTAAATTAATACTTTTAATTTAAAATATCATTTATGATTATTTTATTTTAAATTAACTCTGTCTTCCTGGCCAGTAGCTTAAGTCTAATTATATGTATTATACAGAGATATCTGAAATGATATTGATAAAATGTTCACACTGGTTATTGTTGAATGAAGAATTTAGATGACTAGCTGCTTTATCTTTTTTAATCAAAAGTTTTTTCACTGCTTTTATCACTTAGCCACATGACTAAAAATAACTAAACCAAAAGAAGTTTTTTGAAAGACTCATATTTAAGCAACCTCTAGTGGTAAAATTATCTGATAACCATATATACAACATTTTGGATGTTTATGCAGTTCACACGCCACTAAGAGCTGCCTTCCACACACACAAGTCTGTGTATGTAGCCATGTTGGTATTATGCACTTAATCCTGTTCCATCCTGACTACAGGCTGGATCAAGATAATCACCTGATCACTTGACTCAGGAGGCAGCCAATCTATTGCCTGGATGGAGCCAGTTAGAATCTGTTTCTTAAGAACCCAGTAAATTGGGCCACGCACAATGGCTCATGCCTATAATCCCAGCACTCTGGGAGGCCGAGGTGGGAGGATCATGAGGTCAAGACATCAAGACCATCCTGGCCAACATGGTGAAACCCCTATCTCTACCAAAAATACAAAACTTAGCTGGGTGTGGTGGTGCATGCCTGTAGTCCCAGTTACTCAGGAGGCTGAGGCAGAATCACTTGAAGCTGGGAGGTGGAGGTTGCAGTGAGCCGACATGGCGCCACTTGCAATCCAGCCTGGCGGCAGAGCGAGACTCCGTCTCAAAAAATAAAGATAAAATAAAAAAGAACCCAGTAAACGACTTTGGTCGTTTGTGTACAAGTGAGTTGGCCTTGGCACTTGATTTGCAAGGGCAAATAGGAGGCTAGGGTGGCCATTGTCCATAACAGCGTGAAGAGGCAGAAAAAAACAAACTGCAAAGAAGGATGAATCAGATACATACAGAGAAGCAAACCCAGACACCATGCAATCCCAGAGAAAAAGACAGAGTAGTTTGCTGGGTTCTTAGTATCTTCAGTATCTTTGATACAGTTCTTCAAAAGGAGTTAAATGTCCTTCAAAAGGAGTTAAAACTCTAGGTTCCATGTGACACTTTTGAATTCCACCAGTACTTACTGGTTTTTGTTAAGTTTCTGTTACTTGCAACCAGTAGCATTGTGACAGATAACACTCAGGAATTTCTACTGGCTTTCATCTTAAAATGTGTACAGAATCAGACCAATGCATATCACCTCCACCACCACCACTGCAATCCAAATCAACATACCCTCTGGACTGGATTGCTGCCATAGCATCCTAGAGTGTCCCCCTGATTCTTTACTCTTCACTTCCTGCCCATGCGCAATTATTTGTCCATTCTCATCAAGAACAGCAGGTCAGATCATTTGCTCCTCTGCTCAGAACACTACAAGGGTTCTGCAATACTGTCAGGGTCAAAGTCAAAGTCCTTTAAGTGATCGAATCCCTGTGCTATCCTTCTGAGTTTACCCCTTATGTTCACTCACTTGAGATAGACTGGCTTCCTTGCTGTTTATCTGGAGGCTTAGAGTGGAATGCTAGAATACTCTTCCCTTACTAATTCCTTCAATTACTTCAAGAATTTTCCTCAGATATAACCGTGTCAAAGAAGTCAAACTGACTACTGCATTTAAATTTGCACACACATCCCTCCGGAGTTTTGCTACCCTTTTCTTTTTCCCCAGAGCACTAGTCACCTTCTAACATACTGTAAAACCGACCCTTTTAATTGTGTTTCACACTGAAAGGTAAGCTCCACAGTAGTAGGAATTTCAGCCTGTTTTGTTCATTTGGCAGTCAATAATTACTTGATTAATGAATGGTTAAACACCATCCCTAATGATTCACTAACCAGTTCTCTCTCCAGTTGTCCACAGGCCGATGGACAACACATTTCATTAACTTCAATATAGCAATGCTAGGAAACCATCAGTAGGATGGACATGAAGAAAGACTGATTTTGGATAGACACCAGTGAGGTTATCTATGATGATGAAAAACACGCAAATTTCTTATTTATGCCAGAAAAGTAGAGAAGCTATATTATAAACATGAGCATTATATATATTTATTCCATGAATAACATGGAGAATCTGTATGGCCTATCAGTGATTCAAAGACCATATTTTGTAAATTACAAGTGAAATGAAAAAACTTTTGAGTGTAATGTAATGTCATACATTAGTCAAGATTCAAATTTTGTAAGTTTACATAGGCTAATAAAGACAAGTGATTTTTGAATTAGATAGTTTCTAATTAGAATGTTTAAACAAGAGGTATATCTCCAGCACTCTTTGGAGATTAAGATCCCTCATGCCATCTTTTCTCTCAGCAACAGAGCATATTTTTTAATCAGGTTGGGTTACTTTTAAGCTCCTTTCTCACTACATCTGATGGGGTAATGGCTTAGAGTGAATGAAAACAAATACACTGAAAAGCCCTGTCTGAGAAATGCTGAGACAAGCCATGCACTAAGGGAAAAATGAACGGAAAGAAAATAAAAGCCTCAAAGTCAAATTAGCATAACAGAGGATCCAAGTATATGCAACAAGGCACAGACTAAGCAAGGACAGCCAAAATTTTCATAGTGGAGAGAAATGGGTCGTTTTCTAATTTTGAGCCATGCCATGTGGCACCTAGGTGACTCAGTATCTAAAAGGTACAAGGTTAAGATAGACTATCTCAACAGAGATAAGTTTTGGTTAAATTACACCAAATATATTTACTGATTTTTTTTTTAAACCTGCATTTAGGAAAATTATTTTGAGTGATAATTCTGAGTGTTTATTCAGAAACACATTCTTTGACAAATCTGCTTATAGTAACAGCCAAGATCCTCCAGGTGCCTATGTGTGAGAAGAACTATGTTGCCTAAGAAAATGATTGGTTCTTCAGGTTTCTCTGTAAAGATGGGGAAGCAAGAGAAGAAGAAAAGAAACTGAACCAGAGAAACCAAGAGAGTATGCATGTTTCCCAGAGGAGATGCCACTCTTTGATGCCTATGCTGTGCCCGCATTCAACCCACTCAAAGCACACTAACATGGCACATGTATACATACGTAACAAACCTGCACATTGTGCACATGTACCCTAGAACATAAAGTATAATTTTAAAAAAAGAAGAAATCTTTAGAAAAGTTATCGAGCTCACAGAATGCTTAAGAATGAGTGAAATTTTTGAGAAAACCAGTGAGGAGCTTGATTTATGTCAGATTGCTGCATTTCTAGTTGACGCAGCACACACAAAAGGCACATGAAGAAAAAGAAAGAGAAAAAAAATTGCTGGAAATTAATAGACAGAAGTAGACTAGTCAAAGAGGATCTTTCAACTCCTTTACACTGTGGAGGTAGGGGTTTATGTCTTGCGTTCAATGTCCCCTTCATCTACATATCTTATATTTTATATCATGAAGATATGTCCTGGGAAAATCTGTAATAATGCCCACATCTACAGCTTCTTTTCTATGTAATCTTAGATGTTTAAAAAAGAGTTGATAGTTAATTTGTTTTGAAAAGTAATGAACCAGCTTTAAGCTGGAGAGCACAGAAGCAGACAGCAATTTGTTAGCCTGACATTTTTTTTTGTCTTCCTCCTGTTTTTTGAATGATCAACAATTGGCACAAATTTAGAAACTTTATAATGAATAGCTTTAAATAATGGAAAGATAATTAAGAGTTTGCATGATTTTTAAGTTCATTATGCTTATTTGGAGTAATTAGGAACCATTTGTTTCAGGGTGAAAACACACTTTTAACACAGAAAGACATTTTGTAACTTTGTCAGAACCTTCTTTTTAATTTAAATTAAATTTGCCTGTATTCATTACATTCATACACTTCTATGGGAAATGGGAAAGTCAATATATAGTCTCCTTGATGAAAACTGTGGGTAGCTTATTTATTTTTCACTTGTGTGCAATAATATTGAGACTTTCTATGGCTAAATATGAGTTTACCTTTCCTCCCCACAATTTGCCCATGAAAGACTATGTATTGTTAGAAGGATAAGTTTACAGCTACTGTATTAATTAGATAATAAAATCTCATTTGTGTTGTCCCTTTTACCTAATTCTCAATAGTAAAAAATTACTCCAAGATATATTTTCTATGATTAGAGCAGAATAGAAGTGATTACTATATAATCGCATTTGAAAAACTTCAGTTTAATTAGGATATATTCAACCCAGAACTTGGCGTCAGAGTCTGGCACAGCCAAAGGAACAGAAGAGATGAAGAAAAAGAAATACTTTTGTACTCTTACTTATTTTCACATGAGGATGGTGTAAACCAGTCCTAAGTATACAGGCATGTTTGTTTAATAAACTCTTGTAAGTCTATTACACTGAAAGGAAATGTTAAAAAAGAAATGTATTCCTTTTGTCTTGTTGTTTATATCTGACCATCAATAATTTTCTACCTCTTCTAGATAATCTGTTAATTCTATCCATATTATACATCCAAATACTAATGATACTAATCTTGATCAATCTCCTCCTTCATTTTCCTCATAGTAAAAATGCTTCTTTTCTTTCCGTTTCGACCAGATACCCTTTATATCAAACCATGTATCCTGGAGCAGAAAAATCCTGTCTTCATTGCTACAGCTGCAGATTTCAGAAATGAGCATGTAACCAAATGCAGGCCAAAGAGATGTAAGGAAATACCTTCTGGAATTTCTAGAACATTTTTTTTTCTTTCTCTCTGGGGAAATATCATGGGAAATGAACCTCTCCTCTTCCTGATGCTGTGTGAGGAAATGTGTAATCCGATTATTCCTGGCAGCCATTCCATGACCAAAGGGAGCCCAACTTAAGATGAAGCCAATCCTGTGGTTGGCTGAACAGAATGCCATGTAAATTTAAAAAATAAATAAAATCTGCAACTTTCATGGTAGTGTTAAGCCCTTACATGAACTAACCCTGAAATCTCATGTGTCTCTTAATTTCTACTTACAGGAACTAGAACATTTCCTTGTTATTTAAGTCAGTTTGAGTTTTTGGTTTTCTGTTACTGGCAGTAAAATAACAATCTCCTTTCAGTCAAACATCAGGAAATTCACAGTCTCATGACATCTAAAATCACTAATAATCTTTGCACTTAGTAAAAACTGGTACCAGATGGGAGAATACAGTAAATAAATGTATAGCACCTAAGTGTTCTGTACTTAACTTCTCATCCTTCCACTATCCAACAACAGCTTGACATTCCTTTGATAAATCACTCCCTTTCCACTCTTAGTGCAGTTTATATGCTTATGACTTCCCAATTTTATATCTTCAGTTCTAGATATATACATCCCAAATTTGTATTTTTCATAAATTCCAGACTTGTATTTTCAACTGTGTATTAATTATTTCCACTTGCTCTCTAGAAGATATCTCCAACTCTCAAACTTCCTACAGACTTGTTGAGTGGCTTTGACCAAAATGCTGATAGTGATATGGACAATAAAGTCCAGGCTGAGATGGTCACAGATGGAGATGAGGAACTGGAGTAAAGGTCACTCGCTATGCAAAGAGACTGGTAGCATTTTGTCCCTGCACTAGAGATCTGTGGAACTTTGAACTTGAGAGATGATTTAGGGTATCTGGCAAAAGAAATTGTAATCGCCCAAGGGGTTCATTGCCCACTGCCTAGACAGAGCCGCTTCATCAAGACAGGGGAACTGCAATAGAGAACGAGTAATTCACGCAGAGCCGGCTGTGTGTGAGACCGGAGTTTTACTGTTACTCAAATCAGTCCCTCTGAGCATTCGAAAAGCACAGTTTTTAAGGATAGCTTGGTGGGTGGCGAGGAAGCCAATGAGTCAGGAGTGTTCATTCGTCAGAGATGTAATCATAGGAGTAGAAGCTGTCTTCTTGCACTGAGTCAGTTCCTGGGTGGGGGCCACAAGATCAAAGGAGCCAGTTTATCTATCTGGGTGGTGCCAGCAGATCCATCAAGTGCAGAGTCTGCAAAATATCTCAAGCACTGATCTTAGGAGCAGTGTAGGGAGGATCAGAATGTTGTAGCCTCCAGCTGCGTGACTCCTTTTTTTTCTTTTTTGAAATGGAGTCTCGCTCTGTCGCCCAGGCTGGAGTGCAGTGGTGTGATCTCAGCTCACTGCAATCTCCACCTCCCGGGTTCAAGCGATTATCCTGCCTCAGCCTCTGGCGCAGCTGGGACTACAAGAGTGTACCATCACGCCCAGTGAAAGAAAACAGGCACATTCCTCAACCCCGGACTCAACACAAACAGGCCCAGTACAAACACATCCCACCATATATCTCTCAACTTCCTGAGCCCAGTACAAACACAGAAAACAGGCACATTCCTCAACCCCGGACTCAACACAAACAGGCCCAGTACAAACACATCCCACCATATATCTCTCAACTTCCTGAGCCCAGTACAAACACATTTCTCAACTCAGAGACTACCACATATCTCAACTTTAGAAAAACACCACCTGGAAAGTCTCCGATAAGGACACAGCCGTTCGTGGTTTTACTGAAAGCGCGGGAACCAATAGAAAACTGCTAAATGTATAACTTGAAATGTTAACCAATTGTAGTGCTGTAACCAAAAGAATTCCCTTGTTCCTCTGTAACTTTACGTATCCTATTTACATCGGGCTATAAAAGGCAAGCACTCGCATTGTTCGGGGCCCTCTTGTATGCTGTGGAATGGAGGGACCAAGTTCGAACTTGCAGTAAAAGATCCTTGCAGCTTGGCTTTGACTCTGGACTCTGGTGGTCTTCTTTGGGGAACAAACGGTCTGGGCATTACACCAGCTAATACTATTTTTGTATTTTTAGTAGAGACGGGTTTCACCATATTGGCCAGGCTAGTCTCAAACTCCTGACCTCGTGATCCACCCACCTCAGCCTCCCAAACTGCTGGGATTACAGGCGTGAGCCACTTCGCTCGTCCAACTCCTAAACCATAATTTCTAATCCTGTGGCTAATGTTAGTCTAGTCTCCAGGCAAGAAGGAGGTCTGCTTTGGGAAAGAGCTATTACCATCTTTGTTTAAACTGTAAACTACAAACTAAGCTTCTCCCAAAGTTAGTTCAGCCTATGCCCAGGAATGAACAAAGACAGCCTGGAGGTTAGAACAAGATGGAATTGGTTAAGTTAGATCTCTTTCACTGTTTCAGTCATAGTTTTACAAAGGTGGTTTCAAAATTCCTAAGCATCAAACACTCAAGAGGTGACAGAGCATAAAAGTTTGGAAAATTTGCAGCCTGACTATGCAGTAGAAAAGAAAATCCTATTTTCTGGGAATATAATCAAGTGGGCTGCAGAAATTTGCATAAGTAATAAGGAGCCAAATGCTAATTACCAAGACAATATGGAAAATGTCTCCAGGCCATGTCAGAGACTTTTCTGGCAGACCCTCCCATCACAGACCCAGAGGCCTAGAAGGGAAAAATAGTTTCCTGGGCTTGGCCCAGGGCCCCCGTGCTGTATGCAGCCTGGGGACTTGGCATCCTGCTTCCCATCCACTCCAGCCATGGCTAAAAGGAGCCAACGTACAGCTTAGGCTGTTGCTTCAGAGGGTGCAAACCCCAGACCTCGGCAGCTCCCATGTGGTTTTGGACCTGCAGGTTCACAGAAGTCAAGAATTGAAGTTTGGGAACCTCCACCTAGATTTCAGAGGATGTATGGAAACGACTGGAGGTCCAGGCAGAAATTTGCTACAGGGGCAGAATCCTCATGGGTAACCTCCACCAGGGCAGTGTGGAAGGGAAATGTGGGGTCAGAGCAGAGTCTCCACCGGGGTACTGCCTAGTAGAGGTGTGAGAAAAGGGCCACCATCCTCCAGACCCCAGAATGGTAGATCCACCAACAGCTTGCACCGTGCTATAGCCACTCAATCCCATAGGTACTTGCACAGCCATATGCACTCAATGCCAACCTGTGAAAGCAGCCTGCAGGGGGGTTGTACTCTGCAAAGCGACAGGGGCAGAGCTGCCCAAGGCCATGGGAGCCCACCTCTTGCATCAGCGTGACCTGGACGTGAGACATGGAGTCAAAGGAGTTAATTTTAGAGCTTTAAGATTTGACTGCCTCACTGGATTTTGGACTTGCAAGGTGCCTGTAGACCCTTTGCTTTGGCCAATTTTTCCCATTTGGAATGGGTGTATTTACCTGATGCCTATACCACCATTATATTTAAGAAGTAACTAATTCGCTTTTGATGTTACAGGCTTATAGGTGGAAGGGACTTGTCTTGTCTCAGATGAGACTTTGGAATGTGGGCTTTTGAGTTAATGCTGGAATAAGTTAAGATTCTGGGGGACTATTGGGAAGGCGTGATTGGTTTTGAAAACTTGTCTTACCTCAGATGAGACTTTAGACTGTTGACTTTTGGGTTAATGCTGGAATGAGTTAAGACTTCGGGGGACTGTTGGGAAGGCATGATTGTGTTTTGAAGTGTGAGGACATGAGATTTGGGAGGGGCCGGGGTGGAATGTTGTGGTTTGGCTATGTTCCCACCCAAATCTCATCTGGAATTGTAATCCTATAATTCCCACCTGCCATGGGAGGAACCCAGTGGGAGGTAACTGAATCATGAGGGCAGTTCCCCCATGGTGTTCTCATGATAGTGAGTAATTTCTCACAAGAGCTGATGGTTTTATAAGCATCTGACATTTCCCCCACTGGCTCTCATTCTCTCTCCTGCTGCCCCGTGAAGCGGTGTCTTCCGCCATGATTGTAAGTTTCCTGAGGCCTCCCTAGCTAGGCAGAACTGAGTCAATTAAACCTCTTTTCCTTATAAACTACTCAGTCTCAGGTATTTCTTCATCGCATCATGAGGACAGACTAATACACTATATATTTCCAGTTTGTTTATTTTTACCGTTTATAATTGTGACCAGAAGATAAGTTTCACTATGACAGAGATTTTATTACAGACTATATCCCTATCACTTAGGAAAGTGCCATAGGATATAGACAGTCTGTAATATTAATTGATTGATTGAATAAATATTTTGGTGGGTAACCCCACTCCCCATCCTCACAATCCTAGGCACTCATTTGCTGCAAACCTGGTCAGTTAACAAATCCTATCACCCCAGCCACACTAATTGATGTTTAGAAACAATCACACAGCCAATTACTTTGGTAACTATAGGGAATTTTGCTGTAATAACTGGAAAAACAGAAGCTCTCCTTACATTGGGCTTTCCAGACACCAAGATATTGTAAGATTGTAAGTACGTTCAACTTTGATAAACATAGAGCTTGCTGAGAATAAAATCCCTTAAAATAAAAATAGAGCTAAGAAATAGTAAAGGGAGAGGTTGGAGAAAAGAGGCTGAGGAATATAAGAATGAAGGGATGTGCGCAGGTGTCCAAAGGCAATGTTACAACCACCCAGGCATCTGTTGTAATCTGGTTATCTACTTTTAGACTTTCCAGTTATAAGAGTTAATATATTTTTACTTATGAAAATTTGATGAGTTTCTTTCACTTAAAATAATTAATGCAAGTTCTTATTATCCATGAGCCAAAAATAGATCTTATCTACATTATGTATTGAAATTATTGCCATCTCTTTTTCTTTACTAGTGATATTAATCTTTCCATTTTGAGGCTTGACATCATCTGTGTTTACATGTAAAGCTGTAGGACCACTTATATCAACAGCAAGGAGAGCTAGCAGATTATAGATCTCAGAAGGAGAAAGTCATATAGAGAGCACAACTTTGAGCAGGTGTGTGGCCTTCAATATACTGATATACCCAGCCTCAGGAAAACCTACACATCTGTATTCCCTCAGTAACACTGTCAAGGTTCCCCACTGGCCAAGGCCAATCAAAAGTCAGAGGGCATCTTTTCTTCCCTGCCCCACCAGTGCATGTGTATGCTTGAAAGCTGGCCTCCCACTGCTGCCAGCAAA